CAGTTATTTCAAGTCTGACACGTTTTCACGTTGTATTGGACGCTGAGTGCTCGCTCCTGCAGGTGAAGCAGTATTTAGGATGAGTGATGCTGTCTGAGGGGCCGTCTGGCCTGTGGTGGGGCTGCAGGACCACTCAGGTGGAGGCCGCTGACGCACAGCCGGAGCAGGGAGGCCCGCTCTCAATCAGCCCCATTCACTGGCCCTGTGTGTACACACACACACACACTCCAGTTGTACAGGCATTAAAACATACACATCCTCTCAAATGTCAGTAAACACACTGTCAGACGCATGCCCAGTTTGCCTCCACGTTAGGGACAGCAACACACCACACACACACACACACACACACACACACATTCAGATATCCTGAAGCTCTTAAGATTATTAGTCAAATGGAAAAGTTTGTGTGTAGATCTGTAATCTATTGAGCCACAGGGGTTTTGGGTGTGTGTGTTTGTGCCTGTGTGTATGTGGGTGGGGAGGTTACTTTGAGCCTTCCCACCCACTCAATCTCCGATCCCCAACCTTGTTTGAAAGGCAAAAAAAAAAGAAGGATTGAGGCTTCTGGGCTGGAAGCGAGCCAGCCACAGCGCCAATGCACTTTTCTCGCCTCACCTTCATCTCACCTTCAGCCACTAATTTATTCACAGACTCGTCTCAAACGTCCGAGTCGCCCTTACGGTAAACATGAGTGCACGTCCCGGCTACTGAGTGTCTGTGTACAGTGTTAGATAAACTCAATCAGAAGTTGATTACACGCAGTTACAAGCAGTTACGGTAACTGATCAAATATTGCCATTGGGTGTGTGATGATAAGCAGGGAAATGTGTTGATTCCTTGGCGCGTGAGGTCATTATGTGGCTGGTGGAGTGCACGCACAGACAGCTTGCCCATTTATTGTATATTACAGAGACATTAAAGATTAATTGGAACTCTTTATTTGGTGGCTTAGCTTGTCACAAGGCATTACGGCTCCAAAGAAGGTGAAAAGCACGTTTCACTGTGCGTTTTTTTGGCATTTAATTGGTGCTCTTAGCCACAGTCTCACTCAAGGACACTTCAACGGCACCACAAAGGTGACAGCGAGCACATCCAGGCTTTTATGTGGATTTTATTTTTGACCTTTTGGTTACAGGACAAATCGTAAGGCCACAGCCAAGCAAGTTTGTTTGGTATAAACGCTTGAGGACAGACTTAAAAGCATTTAACAGATGTTCTTCCCTTCACTTCTCTGAGAGCAGATTGGATTATGTGTCTTGCTAAAGCCTCACCCGCAGTTAAATTGTTTATACTTGTTTAAAAGCTCAAGCTCGTAGCCCAAGGTTTTTTTCATGGTATTGCAAAGGTTTTTATTTTCTGGCTTCAAACACCTGTCGGGCTTAATTATTCCTGACGGTGACTTTAGCGTAGCACGAGTGGAATGTTAATAGGTGTTCAAAGTCAAGAAAGTAATGAATTGATTGTGTGGAGGACAGAAAACAAGAAGTGATGGTATTTTACTGTATGTTGCACTTAAGAGGGCTTAAGAAGTGAATTTGTAAAATGTTTTACTCAGCTCTGCCAAGATATTGTTGTACTTCTTCCTCACACGTCTCTCTGAACCCTCTACTGACTTCCATGAGGTGACTTGGGTTTACTGACGTGACTCTGACGTTTTCATCCACAGCAGCAACAGGAGCTCCTGGCGTTGAAGCACCAGCAGGAGCTGCTGGAGCACCAGAGGAAGATGGAGAACCACCGGCTGGAGCAGGAGCTGGAGAAGCAGCAGAGGGAGCAGAAGCTGCAGCTGCTCAAGAACAAGGAAAGAGGACAAGAGAGTAAGTTGCAGCGAGATTGGATGTCGGATGTGTGTCATTTGAAAAAGCTGAATCCATTTTACCCTCACGTATCTGATTGAGCCACATATTTTCTGAAATGTATCTTGAAAATGTAACTCATCTGATACCACGTCTTTAAAGTATATTAGCTACTGAAATAGAACTGCAATTTTCTTTTCCCGGGGACCACCCCACTTAAAACAGCAGTTGTGCCGTGCTGTATGAAGAAGTGATTTGTGATATTTCACGCTGGAAAGTCTCACAAGTTAAACAACTTCCCTTTCGAGAGGGTCAAGTAGTGTTTTCAATTAAAACTCTAGCAATCTCCTGAAGTATTTGAAGAACAGTCACACAAAAGAGCACGAGGAGTTCATCATGGCGAAGGGAATAAAAAGCATGAACCTCAGCATCAAACTTTGGAAACTGCATTCAAATAATGTGATAAATTCGACAACGACAGCTCGGGAGCAAAGATAGATAACCGACAAACTAGTTTTTCATTTTTGTGTAAAGATTTATTTATAATTGTCTTTTTTTTCTGTTAAAACCGTCAAAGTAGATAATAAAAGAAGTTCTGTGGCATTCAGTCCCTGTGTGTATGATATCAGCTGTACTCTGTGTCTGCCGATATCTAAAATCCAAGTATTGGAATGAGTATCAGGAGGGGAAAGGGTATCGGAACATCTCTACCTCCCGATGCTGCCGATGTATTTTAGTCTCAACACTCAATATGTTTGGTATCATCTGCCAGCGTGTTCCGAACTGCTTTGCAAAAGCTCTTCATTCAAAACGCTCCGAGGTTGGAAACGACCGTTGAGATCAGTATTCACAGACTGTGTTTCTGTGCATGTTATTAAATGTGAGTGTGTGTAATGTGTTTGCATGTCTATGTATTTCCATTTTACTTGGAGAACCTGTGTATTTACTGTGGTAAACGAGCTGTATTAGCCGGTGGCCTTGGCAGTGGCTAAGCCGCGTTATTAGGGCTGCCTGCTGGATGTCTCTCAACAGTTCATTGAAGGAGAGTGGACAGGAGTCCTTGAGAGCAGTTTGCACACTATATGGAAAGTGGTTTCAGATCAAGGCTGCATCCGTGAGAGAGGGAGAGAGAGAGGGCGAGCACAGTATGTTTGCTCTCACGTGTACCTGAGCGAGTGTGGTTTGTGGTTTCAGTGGCTTCAATTTTCTCAGCATTTTGCATCGTTTTCAGTTCTATTTCTCGCTTTCTTGTTTCCAAATGCCTCTTCTCCAGGGCTTTTAGAATGCACCATACAGGATGAGGGCAGGGCTGCAACTAATGATAACTTTCTATATCGATTATTCTGCTTTTTATTTGAATTGTCAATTCTTTGGTCTCTAAAAAAAATTTATTTTTACAATTATCAACAGACCAAAAAGTAAACAAATCTGATTTACAATGAAATACAACGGAGGGGGAAGAAACACTGAATATATTTGGTTTAAGAGAATGTAGATAGATTTTCTGCGCCTTGACTAATCAACTAATTTATGCTCTTCATGAGCATAATGAAGTTGGAACAACTTTAAATGGACTTTACCTTATATTAATTAAAATGAGTGCACACTGGGGTGAGCTGCTGGCCCAAGAGTTCAATGCTTAAGTAAATACTTAAATACCCCCAAAATTAAAATGCCAAACTTGACTCGCAAGCTTTTTTGGAAAACTGTGTCTGAAAATATATATAAAATAATAATTTTAAAGATTTCCATTTGACCATTATATAACACAGTGAGTATTTGCATGGTTTTCTCCGGCTTCCTCCTGGCGTTAGGATGAATGTGAGTGTGAAGAGTTTGAATGTCGGTCCTGTGATATGCTGGCCTCCTGTCCAGGGTGTATCCAAGGGGGTATAGATAGATGGGTGGATAATTATGGCAGGACATTTTAACCATCGCTACAGACTGACTACAAACTGTCTACGATAACTTCGTCTGTCTTGCACACAACCGTGCAGCTGTTCTCCAAAGTTGTAGTAATCAGTTGATATTACGAATGTCATCAGAGGAGGATTTACATTTCCTAAAGTATAATCATTTTCATTTTTTCATATCTCCCTCAGGTGCTGTGGCCAGTACTGAGGTGAAGATGCGTCTCCAAGAGTTTGTCCTGAACAAGAAGAAGGCGCTGGCCCAGCGGAGCCTCAACCATGGAGGCCTCCCCAACGACGCTCCGTACTGGTACCGGTGAGGAACAGTTGCTGCTTGACTAAATAAAGTTAAAAAAAGTAGAATAGATGCATATAGATCTGGCTGTTGTGTACATGCTACAGATAATCCAGCTAGGGGTTTGCAAAGCATCAAACCCTGTGTGTTTGTAAGATGTAAGAAGAAACCTTTAAAGACTCTGGCTGCCTTTCTTGTATCCCTGAATGACTGTAAGCAGTATAATACAACCGAAGCGATCTGCAGATCATTATAAGTTAAGAAGGTAATTCTCTCTCTGACAGCAGATGAATAATGCATTGGACTGTGTCTTAATCTGTCAGCGAGCTTCCCGTCTTCCTCACCTGCCACAATATATGAGCACCACTGAGAGATGCATCAAGCGGGGTTATAAAACAAAGATGGGAATACACATGCGCCCTCACACACACGTACACGTGACAGCGGGCTAATTGGAACCTGATGATAGGGGCTCTTACACTGAAAGCTCTGCCTTGAGTGTTTATTGTAGCATCACTGGCGTCTTTTGCAGGTGTGTACACTCGCTGCTTCCTCTTCGCTGTGGCACACGTGAATTCGTTGTGTGTGAGTAACCACAAAGAGTTCATTATGCAAAAGGTGTAAAAATAAATCAGATATTAATGGAAGCAAAAGATAGTCCTACATTATGAAATTCTTCCTATTGTATTTATTAATGGTATTTGCACTGCAGCATTTTTTTGCTGTAGGTGGTTGTAACGGAGCAGATTTATCATGCAAGTGTTGTAAAGCAGTTTTTTGCCTGTAAATCTTATTTTCCCATGTTTTAAAGGAATTGGTCATTTAAGTGAGAATGAAAATAATGAATTTTTGTTGTTTCTATTACATTGTCTGTATCTCTAAACAGGAAAGAATCGCAGCAGTAGAACAAACCCTGGCAGATTGTTTCACTTTTTGTGAGAAAATAACGCTCTGAGGACTAAAGTAAACTGACAGGAGGGGGATTTTTTACACTGACTAATATATCTGTGTGTTTTAGAACCTGGTCACATGTTTTGAGTGAGAAATAATATTAAAAGAAACTTGTAACTCACTACAGCTGTATATAAATAAATTACCTAAGAACTGCACAGCACAAAGCAAGGAGCATCAACTGCAGTTAAGCTCTGGACATGATTTCTAAAATAAGTTTTCCGCGATTATGTTTTTCATCCTGACACAATAAAAGCTCTAAATCTATAAAATGTAAATAAATAACGTTACGTAATCCTGATGAGAGACACAGTGAAACACCCACAAGCGTTGACTTTCAGCAGCTCAAAGTGATGCAAAGTGTCTCTTCCTATATTCTGTCTCCCTCGTCGGACTCTCAGCCTCCTCAGTTTTGGAAGAGATGAACGTGTGTACATCCGCTCGTCAGGAACATGCATTTGGGCCGGAGCCAGCTCGGCTTCACTTTGCCCACAAACACCACCTTAGTTTGTAGGCAGCGAACAGATGGCAGCACATGTCTGCGGCCTTGCCAAAGGGATTTGCATGATGCTTTAATCATACAGATCTGTGACAGCCATGAAGTTAGTTACTTTGTCTGGGTTGCATCACATGTTTGCAGAGTTATCAGTGTCTGGCCTTGTTTCATCTGATTCTGTTGTTTAATGTTGGGAGCATCTATAACTCTTGTGTGTGTTTGTTCTATAGCAAAACCCAGCACAGCTCTCTGGACCAGAGCTCGCCACCACAGACTGGTGTGTCCACCTACAACCACCCCGTGCTGGGCGTCTACAACCCTCGGGATGACTTCCCACTGCGAAAAACTGGTAAATCACACATACACTTTCACACACATGCTTGCACACATGGCTTTTGCAGTACCGACCTGTTTATTTGCTCCTGCTAGCCAACCCCAGGCTCACTTTTTGAGATTACACACATATTGGAACTGTAATGACCAACGGCTGCACTGCAGATTCACATCTAACACAATTTAGACGCCATCAGAGGGCTACACCATTAATCACCTCCATATTAGGCCTTCAGGGTCTCCCAGCATCCCTCACATGAGTGGTACAGAGAACAGGTAAGCGTAGGTGGTTCAAGAGTTCAATAGAGTGGAAGACGTTTTTAGCAATTTTAGCACCTGTTGTTTTATTAAATTTTAATAGTCCCTTAACCTCTAGGCTTGTTTTGAATCAGAGGTTCTTTTGTGTCTTAAGAAACCTGTGCTTAATGCTGACGGTCTTAATAATAGGTAGTATGAACTCAGCTCAGATTCTTAGTTTGTTAAGTAGTAGTAATTTGAATGCTGAAGCTTGCCTCTCCCTTTAATTCATCTAGTAATTGCATATTAAAACTAAGTGGGTTTGACACATCTCACTTGAGGGTAAAGCCAGTTGGGAACATCTCCTCTTGCAGTGCAGCAATTACTTTTGGGGATCCCCAGGGCTGTATTCTCGGCCCTTCATTGTTTTCAATTTACGTTCCGCAGTAAAACCATCACACTTTTCCTCTGTGTACTAACTCATAACGTTGCAATCATCAAGGCAGTAGTTTCCTGGTGTTAAATGCTGATAGATAGTCTGTGCATGAAGCAAATCAGGATAATGTATTGCAGGTATTACAGGCTCAGGTCCAGCACTGGTCCATTAATTTAAATCAAACTTTTTATTGAGGTAACAAATAAAACTCAGGTCTATTTTCCAGAACATTGATTTAATTAATTTGTACAGAACAAGCACATGCAACAAACTGCAACAGGAGGAGACATGTACATTTTACATGTTTCATTTAACTCCTGTCTTAACTTGCACATGACACATGTATTATGTGTATTTTACGTCGTTTTTGACCTCAACACATTTTTATTATATATGTAGTGTACATGTCCTTTGTTCTTCTTGTGGCAAAGCACTTTGTAAATTTGTTTTTGGAATAGTGCTGTGCAAATAAGGTTACTAATGGACTGCACTTGAACTGCTGCTGCCACACAGTGCAGATCCAAAGGTTTTAGAATCAGAAGCCATTACAAAATCTTTACAAACCAAAAGTCATTATAAGTGTTAAAACTCTACAAAAAGCACTCATGAAAGTTGGTGAAGTTTTCTCGTGGTCTACAATTTAAACTGTTTACAGTGTGTTTTGGTCAGGTGTGTGTGAACAGCTTTGTGTGTGTGTGCGGTGGTGTAGCCGTGAAGCAGTGGTCGTCTTACAGTGCAATTATTCACTTAGAGCGGCGGCAGGCGGCTACAGCCAAAGCTCTGGGCCTGTTGACTCTGCTGGATACGATAGCAGATAGACCACAGTTGACACTGGCTCACACAGCCGCATTCCACCCTGAGAGAAGCGAAGAGGAAGAGCGAAAGAAAGGAGGGGAAATAGAAGAGGGAGACGGAGAGAGAGGAAGATGAGTGGAGCAGGCTTTGGCGACCTCACTGACCATTTAGAAGACCTCGAAAAATATTTGAGGCTAGAGATGGAGGGAGTGTCGGTTTCCTTATAAAAGCAGAGAAATGGAAGATGAGGGCTGGCGAGCAGGATTGTAAACACAATCCAGCGAGTGGCACAATGATGCCACACTCCCGTGAACTTGCTTCACACAGAGAAAAGAAAAAACGGCGGGAAGATGGCAGCGAGGGAAAAGATCGTCCCTGGAGTGTCAGTTCGTCTCATGATTTCTATAAGGCTGCGGATTGTGCTCGACTGCGGAGGAGAGGAGAAAACCTGTGCCACCCTGGTATTTGTCCACCGTGATGACGTGCTTTGCGGGGTTTACTTATGTTAATGCCAGCCGAGGGAGGTTAGAGGCTCTTTTATATCACCGCCTGGCCATAAAGTAGCGGACTGGCACCCAGGGCTCCCAGCAACGGTCAAAGGAAGCAACAGCACTCTTTTGTACATCCAATTTTTATTTTTCAGTGCGGCCGATATGTTCATCCGCGGCACTGTTTAACAAATACGACAACAGAGTAAGCCAAAAATGTGTTTACGGCAGATAATATAAAAGTCTTAAAAGTTATAATCCTCGAGATTTCAGTCCGGGTTGATTTGGCAACAACTGTGGTTGCCGTGGTAACAGCGGGCAGCGTTCAATACGACAGCAGCTGCTCTGTCGGAAGAGCAACGGGTCTTTGTGTTAACAGTGCAGCCAAACAATCTCTCGATATTTTTAATGACGAAGTCAATCAAAAACAATTACAGCTGCGATCTGAGGAGTCAGAGGTGCACGCTGCATGCTCCCTGCAATATTTCAAATGTAGTCGCTGTCAAAATAAAAACTTGTCTTGTTCTCTCAGCAGATTTTATATTGCCGACAGCACTAGCCTCTGCTTACTCGGTCAATATCAATGAAAACTACCATTTACCAACCAAATACCAGGAACCAAGCCCTGGCAGCTCATCACCCTGAACCCTCACCCATCTTCACTGGCTTCATGTCAAGTCCTTCATCACGTATAAAATCCTCCTCTTAATTCTTAGTCCTTTTTGTCCCTTGATGATCTGCTTCCATCTGGGCCTGTCCTGAGCCATGTGTTGGGCCTCTCTTCTTCTTCTCCTGCATCTCTGCATAGTCTTCTGTTTCCTATTTTACATCTACTTCTGTTTCTTCTTCATCATCCTCCTCTTCTAATTCATCAACTACTATATAACTTTTTCTTCTTCTACTCCGTCTTCCTTATTTTTCTTTTCCTGCATATTCTTCTGCTGTTCTTCTTCTTCTTCGTCATCTTTTTATTCGTCTTATTCGAGGTATTAGCAGAGTATGAAAACATCGAGCTCTCACGACCTTTTGATACTTTTCATACGAGTTGCATGACAAGAGCTGCTAGCTGAAAAACCTACGCATCCACTGAATGGCAGTTTTCTTTAAAATCAGCAACTCCTCTTTTTACAAATTTAAGGGTGAGAGAGCATCACATGACAGCGTGGCCTTTCTGGAGCATGTTCTCACACATATGTGAATGCCTCAGAAACATGCAGACAGGGTGGGAAAGTTTGAGGCCCTCTGACTCACTGCGCTCTTTGACAGCGGCAGAGCAAGGCACGCTGTTCCCGTCTTTTCACTGATGAGCAAACGTGTTTTTTATGGCCTAACTGGGGCAGCGCGTCCTTCACATGGATACAATGGCACATAGGCAGACAGGGTTCCGCAGTACACGGTGTTGGTTGATAACCAGACTGTGCTGCTCGTCCGTGAATAGACGGAGCACCGTGCGGCTGTCTGAATTCCACATGTCACTTGGTGAATACACAGCCTTTCACCCCTGTTCTGAGGCCCATTTTAACAGGCCAACAATGCACCGTTTGTGCATTGATAACATGTGAGTGTATGTGCTCCTCTAAGAAACAAAAGTGATCAGCTCATGTGAAGACTATGCATTAGCTATATTTTCCAAATATGAGATACAGCAGTGTCCATGTTGTCTTACTTAACATGAAATGAGTAAGAGGGGAAATAATTTCCTGAAGCTAAGAAACGGAGACGCAACATGGATCCAAGACCACACACTAACAATCATTGCCTTGATATTTACCAGCTGCATTTCTCTTATTTCTTTATTCCTCTCAAATAGCAGAGGAAACCTCTTTTCACAGATATTGACGTTCTCTCCTTCAGCTCTGCTTGTATTCTATTCTTGCTGTGATTATTTGTGGTGCTTTGTTACTGGATCACTTTCACTTTTCCAAATAGTTTTTTTACTCTGGCGGAACTAAAAACCTAATTACTGCTCCTTTTTCTGCTTTTCAAACGGACGCTGCCCTCATATGGAATTCTGAGAAAAAAAGCTCCGTCATTAGTCTTGGAAACTGTAAATGATGTGTCATGGCGATTCATGTTTTGACAAAACATTTCAAATCGAAACTCTGAGAAAAAAACGTCACGACCGTCTGTATTCAGAGTTGATCGTGAATGAAGATGCACACGCTCTTTTATAATTATCCAAATTCAAACGTCTTGAATCGCTTATAATTCTCAAGAAAAAAAAGTTTTCAAGTTTGAAGGCTACTTCTTTAAAGTTTAAAGTTTAGTCCATGTAAATTTTAATTTAATGCTTTTTAAGGATGAATATTTTATCATCTAACAGCAAACACTCTACTCTATGGATACAATATGCACAGAGCTGATCAAATTTAGCCTTTGTCTAAATAATGTGGTTTAATTAACTCAATTACCTGTTGGAGCATAAAAAATATCATCAATTGGTCAGTTGGGAAGTCCCATTGCTGCTTTTTTCCTCCGTCCAAAATATGCACTTTTTCCTCATTAAATTACAACTTAATTCTTTTAATATAATTACATCATTCTAGAAGTCCTGAATCTTTTTTATCTTTAATATGGCCCTGATACTCGGTTGTATAAATTGTGTCCAAAGATCTAAAAATCTAATTTAGTGACAGGGAACATCTGATTAGAAATAAATTGGCTCCACAAACATTGACTGGTTTGCCTCCATCTGGACTGAGCTCTCTCTCCCACTATGTGTTACTGTACCTTCACACTTCAGAGTTCACACTTCACTCTTTTTCCACACAGTTATTTTTACTTGACACTTGATGGGAGCAAGTTCATTTTCTTATGAATGTTTCCAAAAAGGAAAAGTTTGCTCCAGGCAAGAGTGTCTTTCCGTGATTCGTCCCTGTACCTTCGGGGTTTGAAATAAAAGAGACGGAGGAGCAGATTAATCTGGTTGTGTCATAATCGTGGTTAGCTATTTGGATTCAGCTCCTCTTTGATGATTAAATATTGGATAATGAATGGTGAAATTATCCAAGGCCACTGATTGGCAGGGCAAGGTAAACAGAGCATTAGCCTCTGTGGCTGGAGCCAGTGTGACATGCCGTTCCCTTCTCCCTGTCTCCATTCACAAGTCTGTGACAGTGAACACAAAAGACCAAAAGGCCTTTTGGCAATCAGACATGGCTCCCAAATTGGAGCTAATTGCTTTTTAGCCGCAGTGTCTTTGGGAAAATGGATCAGAATCTGTCTTGTTCAGAAAGCATCTAAATAGGAGGCAGTAAATGAATAGCAACGTGTAACAGTTTGTCTGGCAAACAGGTTTTATAACAGAGCAGCTGTGTGGAAGGCGCTCCATGACAGATCAATGTGAACAGCTCGAAAGCCTGTGAGACTGTGGCTCAGGTAACTCTCCCACCCTTCTGAGTGATTTGTCTGAAGCTGCACAGCCGCCAGTTATCTGCATCACAGATGCTGACAGGGGCGTCGGAGTCTGTGCTGGAGTTGGCGATCGCTTGGTTTTAAGTCGTCGTTGTAGTTTCTTCTTTATGAAATACTGCAGGTCAAGGTAGAACCAGCTGAGTGGAATGTTGGTGCATTTATGTTGTGTCCGAATAATAAAAAAATGTTGTCCTTGACTGGGAAAATTCTTGTGAACGCAAAACTAAATATTAATCTGCATACCATGACAGAAAACATGAGATTGATACTATGGAGCAGAACCTTAACTTCATTAAGGAATTCTTGCACGACTGTATTTGAATTCCACCAAATGGCACTTTGGCAGCCAGACTGTAAACGAATGAATCACTCACATATTTTGCTTCGTCTCTCCCCATCCTCCTCGCAGCCTCGGAGCCCAACCTGAAGCTGCGCTCCCGGCTGAAGCAGAAGGTGAGCGAGCGGAGGAGCAGTCCACTGCTGCGTCGTCGAGACAGCCCCATCACCACGGCCAAGAAACGCTCACTCGACATGGCAGGCAAGAGACACTCAAACATACTGGCAACCGTCTTGTGTTCAAATGTTTTAAATTTGAGTTTTAAGCTGCTGTGTTTTCTTGAGACTATGTGTATTTCATTTTTTTGTGAACATGTGTGTGTTTCAGACTCTGCATGTAACAGCGCCCCGGGCTCAGGACCAAGCTCCCCGAATAACAGTTCCAACAACATCCCCAATGAGAACGGCATCACTGTGTCATTGTCTAACAACACAGAGGTAACACACACACACACACACACACACACACACACACACACACTAATATTGCTTTCAGACATGCACTGAAATCCGGACAATTTCCTTAAATTACCAGAGGGGGGTCAATGTGATAACGCAAACGTCTGAGTCAGTTGCTCCAGACATTTTCTGGAACTTTTCCCGCCAGTCCCCTGGTAAAATGTCTGGAGAATGTCAAAGATCTGATAAAGATATTTCTAGAGGGCATCTCTCTAAATCTAAACCTGGGACCTGCTGGTAATAAACAACTGCAGATTTTCTGGCTGTTACGGGTGTGAAATGTTTTAGCACCAAGCGATGGCCAAGATCCTGATTTACTTCTCCCCAGAAAATAAAATCATGTGTGAAAACTAAATATTTGCATCAAACATTTTTACAGAGTTAAAAGGTTTTAAATCTCTTTAATAGGAACAACTTTAAAACTGAGAATTTATACAACAACAACAAGCAACACTATAACGATGAATTCATTATGCATACTTTTAACGTCAGGGTAGCTTTGCTGTTTTATGTGGCTGCTTGACTACAGGTGCTAGTTATTAGCTTTTTAAACTTGGCAGCCTGAAGCATGAACAGAAAGGCTCAGAGTGAGGGATGAACTGATAATGGGTGTGTAGAGGAGGAGAAGAGCGGAGGAGATGGCGAGATCCTCTCTGTGGCAGCCATTAGGGCCACTCAGGCAGTGTGGAGAGAGCTTGTGGCGGTGACGATTTAAACCGCCGGTAGGGTGCAAACAGCTCTCTCCCCCATGCGTGGACGTATGCTTTTTGCCCGTAGCGATTTTTCATGATGCAAACACGTATAAATCATTTGAATGTGCTTCCCAGGCGTCTCTGGCCCAGAGGCTGAGCAGTGGCGCAGAGCAGGGCTCCGTTAACCAGCTGTCCCTCTACACTTCGCCATCCTTACCCAACATCACCCTGGGGCTGCCCGCAACTGCCACGGCCACTGCTGCTTCTAACGTAAGGAGGAAACTGCTGCCAAGCTGGCGAAATTGCTTGCAGATTGACTGTGCATCTATTAAACTTTGAATGTGGGGTGTTTCCCGCCTGTTACAATTTATCAGCCCTCGTGTTCAATCCCTCCTTCCTTCTTCCAGGTGACCTCGGCCCAGCAGGATGGAGGTCTGCAGCCGGCCCTCTCTCTCAGCCCTCCTTTCCTCTCCGGTGGCCACTTGACCCCCTACTTGGCTGAGGCGGGAGCAGGAACTGGCGGACATGGCGCTCACAGTCCGCTGCTCCAACACATGGTGCTCATGGAGCAGAGCCAGGCACAGAGCCCCCTGGTGACAGGTGAGAGTAGTATAGTTAAACTGAAGTTGCTGAAGGGATTATTAGTGACAAAGGAACAATGCAAGCTTATAAGTGGAAGTAGTTTGGGTAGGATTTATCTTAATAATAAGAAAATCAAATCTACAAAGTAAATGTATTGTTCAGTTTTGCTCCTGTCATTCGCTGGCAACACACAAAAAGAAAACCATCACCGTGTATCCGTGGTACACTGTGTGCCCCCTCACACTGACAGACGTCCATTCATTAGCCCAAACTAATGAGCTCCTTTCATATGTCAGCGTATGCTATGAGACTATGACATGGTTGCATTGTGCAGCCCTTTCCCATCAGCTCATTTACCGACTTCCGACAACGCTGCTATTTTCAGCAGGGGCATAGGCAGTGAATGGGCAATGACGCACATACACATGTGTGTATGTGTGAGTCCACGCAGGCGAAAGACGTACAGACAAGGACGTCACACGCCCACACACGGGACAGGAGCAGAGAGCAAAATGTTACAGCCCACTTGCAATAGAGTCCATCTCAGTTCACACCAGGGAAAGTCGTGTTTTAAACCATAAAATAAGTCTCCACATCAAACTACCACAAACCTATCTGTTTCAAATCAGCTCTTACTTCTTCTAACTCTTTCTGCCGCCGCTCTGCCATGTGGTAGCATCAACATTTATCTGCTGTTTGCACAGTAATGAATCTCCTCAGATCATTTCCCAAAGTCTGTTTTCTTACTTTTCCTCCTCCGGATGTCAGACTGTGACTGCAATAAGATGTTTCCCATTTCCTGGCTCGTATCATCACAATAGGAGAATCGCTGTGTGGCAGCACAGATGGTAATTTTCATTTGGTTCACAAATCCACCTGCTAAATAATCATATGTTCGATGAGAGAAATTAAAAATGTGTTGATGTTTGAGCATCATATCACATTTTTACATCTTAGAAATTTACATTCCATAAGGTTCATATGATTGGAGTGATGCGGCCGACTCTGTCAATCTCCTGCTGCGTATGTGAAAGTCAAACTACATAAAAGGAGGCTGATAATAGGAAAATGAATATTTTAGTGTCTTGACTGAACAAACAAACAATTCTTTCACTGTTCTAGTTTTTTGGGGAAGGTAGCTCTTGCCAAGAAAAATCTGGAACCAACCTGGCATTAGTATCCACTCTGTGATATTTGGTTCCGCCACCTCTTACAGTCTTTCCCGTTCGTCACCCAGGCGTGAGCGGCTTGTCCATGTCGCCGGCAGCGTCCATGGTGAAGCTGCAGCGACAGCACCGGCCCCTGGGGAGGACCCAGTCAGCCCCGCTGCCCCAGGGGAGCGCCGCACAGGCCCATGCCCAGGCCCTGGCCCTGCAGCAGCTGGTGGTGCAGCAGCAGCACCAGCAGTTCCTGGAGAAGCACAAGCAGCAGTTCCAGCAGCAGCAGCTCCACCTCAACAAGGTGAGTGACACTGTCACCTCTTCTTCCATCCTGTCGTCCACTCTTCCTGCATGAACCCTTTCCAGGTTCTTTCTGTTGTTGTTGAGGAAGTAGTACATGTTCTCATTATGATTGTTATATAACGTAATTAGCATTAAGTTAGAAGGGACCTGAGATATGAAGTTGTATTCAAATAAACTGATAACTAATTAGGCCTATAAGCCACAGTGGGGCTGTAGTGTAGTTGTTTGTGTAGGCGGCCACAACTAAAACAGCCAATAATGTGTTGTTAGAAAAGGTCTTTGATTTTATTCAGCCATTTTCTTTCTCTCTCTGCTTCTCCCTCTGTAGTATTTTTGTTAGCGATCAGGCGGAGGCAGGTATGGGTTAATATGCATAGCACTTTGTGTTTGTGTGTGTATGCTTTTGAGAATGGTTGCATCCATGTCTCAGTGTAACTGTGGATGAGACAGTTGCCAAGGGCTGCCTGTAAGGTAACCGTGCGCTGCCATGGCAACGCAGCGGAAGCCATCGCCTTATATGGTCAGGGAGGAAGCGGGGCGCCGCTGCTCTGGACGGTTTTACCTATTCGAGCAGAGTACTCGCTGGAGGAGAGGTGGGTGGATGAAACAAGGGATTTCCTCTCCTCCTCCTCCGCCTCCCCCGCTCCGCTCCCTCTCTCTCTCTCACTCCCTCCATATGTTTGTGAGCTCTCAAGTGGCAGCTTTTCACACAAACATCTCTATAAAAGCCTCTGGCACACCAAGGACAGATTCTGCAGGAGTTTTTGTCAGGACTCAAATGAAAATCTCCTCCTCTCGCTCGGAGTTAATCAGAATACAAAGGGGTGAAGAGCTTCTTATTTTGTTCAGCTGTAGTTTTTGTTCTAAATATTACAATGCAGTTCGTGAAGAAATCAGTCGTGCAATATTTAATAGTCAATAACACACCGATAATAGACCTGATCTGTTAATATTTGAAAATAAAAGTCCATGCTTTATATCTTCTTTGGGTTTTAAACTGCTGAGCTATAATTGTACTGAACGTCTTGGATAGTTTGGATACCTGACTGATGGATATTGAATTGGACAGGTCGCCAACGTATCGCAGGAACAACATACCGAGCAAAAACACTCTCTCACACTTAGGGAAAATGTAGAATCTCCAATTCAACTGCCCTCAATCTGCATGACTTTGGACTGTGGGAGGAAACCCAGATTATTTCTTGGCCTGAAGCTGTAGCTCATTGGGATTATTCTTATGTCACCAGGATGTAATTGTATAATATCTAGATCTATTCGAAAAGCAGACACTACATTCACAGTTTGTGGTGCTGGAGCAAAAAGCAGAACATGACATCGTATTTCTTTTTTATTCGTTGAATTTGACATTGACTCTCACTCTGCTTCATAACAACATCACGCCTGATACCAATCTCACAGTTCAGTTGTGCACATCCCTGAGTCTAAGTGTTGAAATGTGTAATTTGAAGATGTCACTCTGAGCTTTGGGGAACTGTGAATCGCAGTTGAAGCCCTGAATGTAATCAATTCAATTCATGTAGGACTGTGCTCATGTCAAATGAGTAATAGATGCAGCTATTTTTATGATAAATTCAGTAGTTTCAGTTATGGAAATGAATGAATGTGAGCTTGAGGTTTGGGGGGGAGGCGGGAGGAGGAGAGAGCAGAGGAGGGCAGCTGGGTCGAGGGAATCTGAGGTGAAAAGAGGGCAGTGGGGGAGAAGTTTGTTTGGATGTAGAGAAGACAGTAGAATAGTATAGCAGGAGTGGGGGTGAGGGGGTGAATGAGAGCTGGTGAATGCTCTGACGTCAATGCTGTCCCCCTGGCACTGAGCCAGTGGACCCCGAGGCTTACAGCTCTGGGAAACACACACACACACACACCTGTAGATTGAACCCACTCTTGAGGTTTTGTCTCACATCATAAACACTCAAACACACGGGGGCCAGTGCTCCGCAGCTTTTAACGGCACTGTGAGTTGTCCATGTCAGTGACAGCAAATGAATAGACAATTGAATCACTTCTCAGTTAACA